CACACACACACACACACACACCTCACTAACTAGCTATACCCAATTCTATCCTGGTACCTATATACGTCACTCACTGGCACTGGCACACGCCCCACTAACTATACCCTATGCTATCCTGGTACCTATATACATCATTCACAGACACACACCCCACTAACTAACTATACCCAGTTCTATCCTGGTACCTATATTCGTCACTCACTGATACACACCCCACTAACTATACCCAATTCTATCCTGGTACCATACATAACTCACTGACACACACACACACACCTCACTAACTAGCTATACCCTATTCTATCTTGGTACCACACATAATTCACTAGCACACACACACCTCACTAACTAGCTATACCCTATTCTGTCCTAGTACCTATATACATAACTCACGGGCATACGCCCCACTACTAACTCTACCCAATTCTATCCTTGTACCATACGTCACTCCCTGCATTCGAAAAATCTTGACATGTGAAACTCAAAGATTTTAAGGTCAGATTTCTCAAATCTGGGTACTGAATATATAGAACTTGTGGTTCTGAGGTAGCGATACGCCCCACTAACTATAGGCCTTCCCAGTAGAGCTGGGCGAAGAAGCGATTCCGGAACCGATTCCCACGATGAATGTTACGAAAGAAAAGTTCCGACTCCTTTTTAAGTAAACCAACGGTTTCCAGTTACTTCGATCATTAAAATCTTTTTTTTTAGAATTTGTTTTTGAAAAATAAAAGTTGATGCTTCGTAGTGTTCCGAAATCAAGGTTCTCCTAAATCCTGAAGATGTTAGGACCCAACCAGATAACCATCTGAAGAAGTCGCATCTTTAGAAAGTGAGTAATTGGGTTCGGAGTCGATTCCTACGATTCCTAGCTTTCAATAATCGGGAACCTAGCCGCCCAGCGCTACATCCAGTTCTACCCCAATACCTTTCATCACTCATTGACACACTTCTATTATGCGTTATGCCTCCATATTTCTCCCTGTCCTGTTTCTCTCACTCCCTGACCACCACCCCCCCCCCCCGGTCACAATCTCACACCCTCCACCCTTACACACACCCCTCTTCACGTAAACCCCCACCACCCTCCCACAAGCACGACCGATGGCTCTCTGACATGGCTTACCTGCACGAACAACTCACGCCACAATAATCATTGACTCGCAATTCAGACATTGTCACTTTTTAGGACAAGCGGACTAACCCAGATTTCGGGGGTTTCCAGAAAAATTGACCTACACCAAAAGTGATCATTGCACTACCTCTATGAGAAGTTTGGTTTTTATTGGTGTGTTTATTTGTCTGGTTATAGAGAAAACTCTCCTTGTCTTTTAAAGAAACTGAACAAGGTTCCAAAAATTTTACCTTGGTTTTTTTTCTCAAAACAGCATTTTTCGGGATACCCCCCTTGAGCTTAAAAGCGACCATAATATTATTATATGCATGTACTTCTATCAAGCACTATGCCTCGCCATGTCTCCCAGTCCTGTTCTCTCATTCCTCGTCCTCCCCTTCCCCTTTCCCCAATACCACCTCTCTCCACCCCCTCCACCCCATCCCCTTACATAATCCCCCACCACTCACCCCAAAGCACTACCGACTGCTCCCTGACACGGCTAATCTCCACAAACAACCCCCCC